AGGGAACCCTTGAGCATTGATGGGAATGTAAATTGGTAAAGCCACTATGGAAAATAGTGGGGAGTTTCTTAAAAAAATTAAAACTGAACTACCCAGCAATTCCACTTTTGGGAATTTATCTAATGAAAATAAAAGCACTAACTCAAAAAGATACATGTACCTCCACGTTCACTGAAGTATTATTTACAATAGTCAAGATACGGAAGCAACCTAAGTATCCACTGATGGATGAGTGGATAAAAATGTTGTGATAGATATACATACACACAATGAAATATTATTCAGCTATAAAAAATGATATCTAAATCTATACAAAATGAAAAATGAAATTAATTTGTCACAGCATTTATGAACCTTGAGGGTGTTACTAAGTGAAATAAGTCAAGTAGAGAAAGACAAATACTGTATGATTTCATATGTGGAATTGATAAACAAATAACAAAACCAAGTTCATAGATATGGAACAGATTGGTAACTGCCAAAAGTGGGAGGTGGGAGAAACGGGTGAACTGCATTTGATTGTTTCTAGTTTAAATTAAAAAAATACTAATCCCTAGGTCCCACTACCAGAGATTCTGATTTAATTTTTCTGAGATAGTGCCCTGGTATTAACATTTTTAAGACCTTCTGCATAAGACTTAAGTGAAGGCATGGCTGAGAATTATCACCATAGAGCTTTGCAGCTTTTCTAACTCACATTCTTTTAATTGCAAACATCTGGCTAAGATCCAGGTCCCATGGGGAGGTCTCTGGCTAGACAATTACTTAGGCAATTCAGCTTCCAAGCAGATTTGTATGCTGAGAGTAGAAAGCAAAATCGATACACCCTTTTGCTTAAACCTGATTCTTTTGATACTAAGTCCCCAGAATGGTTTCTCAAGATGCAGGAGGCCTGTCTACTTGCAAATCTGGACATACCATGAACTTTGCCGTTTGGTAAACAAACGAAAAAGAAAGAAATAAACATTAAGTATATAGATACTGAAAGATAGGTATAAACTTTCATTTCCAGGTTATGGTATTGTCAACTTGAAAAACCCCAATATATCTGTAGACAAGCTATTAGAATTCATAAAGAAGTTTAAAATGCTGGTATCATGCAGTAAGATCTATGTACAAAAGCAAGCTGCATTTGTAACAAATAGGAAATGTAATTTATAGAAGTGTATCATTCATCACAGAACTAAATATAGATCCAGGAATAAACCCCAAAATGGATACTTCAGGCTTTTGTGCAGACAGTTATAAATTTTTATGACAGACATTAAAGAGATCTAAATCAAAGGAAGGGTGAAACCTTGGCAATGAATAGAAAGACCAATGTCACCAAAGTGTCAATTTTCTGAAAATCTATCTTTAGTTACAATGCAAGTCAATAAAAATATTTGTTTTAAAAAATTTAAAATGCTTCATATATTTATTGGAAAATATATGGAAGAGCAGAATCAAAAGTCAGCCAAGCCATTTCTAATGAAAAGCAAAAAAAATGATAATTAAGAGTTTGGTTTTAATACAGTGATAGGAACATTGAGCAATGGAACAGTATATAGAGACAAGAGATAGACCCATAAATTTATGGTAATTTGCTATCTGATAGAAATGTCTTTACAGATCACTGAGGAAAGTTATGCATATTCACTACATGGTGCTGAAGCATTTTGTTATTTATGCAGAGGAAGTGATTGCACTGTTTACACAAAATCATTTCCAAATGGATTAAAAATTTAAATAGGAAAGGCAAATTTCAAATGTACAGACGATAACATAAAGTTGACTATCATGAGTTCAGGATGTGGAAGGATTTTTAAATAAGACAAAATCTTTAAAAATGGAGAAAAGATTAAGAAAGTTAACTGTTTTAAAATTAATAACTTTTTATCAAACTACATCATGAAAAGAGTGAAAGCAAATCAAAACCTAAAGAACATATTTTTAAGAAATATAACAGTGAATTTGCCTCAAGACTAGAGAAATGCTACAGATTACTAAAAATTAAAAAAAAAAATCCCAATAGTGAAATGATAAAAAATATCAGCAGACCTTTCAACAAAGGAAAAACATAGGAAAGCAAAAAGCTTATGAAAATATGCTCAATCTGATTAAAAATCCAGAAAATGCAAATAAAATCCACATGAGATAAAGCACCCACACATTGCTAGAAGTTTAGTAAGTCAAACTATGTCACTTGCTTTGAACTCTTACATACTGCTGGAGACTGTATTGGTGCAACCACGTGGAATACGCTTTTTTGCATATTCTGCAACTTTCTATTTATATAAATCTGAGAAACTCTCATTTATGTTCACCAAGAGAAGTGTACAGGCATATGACTAGACAGAACATAACTAAACACAACTATTCATAGATGGGAAAATAAAGGAGACCCAGGTTCAATCCCTGGTTCAGGAAGTTTCCCTAGAGAAGGAAATGGCAACCCACTCCAGTAATCTTGCCTTGAGAATTCCATAGACAGAGGAGCCTGGTGGGTTACAGTCCATAGGATCACAAAAAGTTGTACACCACTGAGCAACTAACACTTTCACTTTCTTTCACACAATACAGTTGTATACAGTGGTTAAAAATCAAAGAACCACACCCACACATAGAACATGAAAATGCTTAAATACGTTTGTTCAGTCATTTAGGTGTGTCCAACTCTTTGTGACCCAATGGATTATAGCCTTCAAGGCTACTCTTTCCATGGGATTTTCCATGCAAGAATACTGAAGTAGGTTGCCATTTTCTTCAGGGGATCTTCTCTACTCAGGGATCAAACCCACATCTCTTGCATCTCCTGCACTGGCACATTCTTTACCACTGTGCAACCTATAGTCATTTATTAATAGAAATGAAAAGGAGTTTTAGAAGATTGTGTACAGTATGATATCACTTCTGTGACGTTCAAAGGCAAGCACTATTAAGTATTGGTTCACGTGGAGGGCATATTCTCTTCCTATTCTAACACACCACAAAGATCACACCAGTGAGTGAAGAAATGAGAACAATTATCCATTTCACCAAAAACTCATTATATGATACAAAATCAAATAGAAAAGTAAAATGAAGCTCTAAGAGTAAATATGAAAGATTTTTATCTTTTACTGCTGAGTTACAACTTTCAAGCTCATTCTACATTAGTTAGAAACCACCACTAAGATTATAGATATCAGTTGGTTCTCTCAATTTGTATACACGTCAGAAGGAACGTTATGTTCAAATGAGGTTAAATCATATAATGTAGATGTGACAATACACAAAATATATTCTCCTGCCATTTTGATGATAGTAGAGGGTAATCTAAAATGCAGCATGATGAATTTGGGGTCCATCTAATGAGTCAAGGTCAGTGGTAATGTGGGGGGAAAAGCTCTGTGAAACCGGATGCAACTGGCTTGGAACTCTGGCCCCTAATAATTGGCAGGTTTGAGGGGCAAATTGCTTAGATCCTCTAAGATTCATGTTCTAGTCTGTAAAATGGTGACAGTATCATCCTTGAGATGTCATTGAACAAATGTGCTTAACATGATATTTGAAAGTTGACACTCAATAAGTCACAGTTATCATTCTGGAAACATTTCTAATGTGCTCTAAAGATTATTTTATACCTCTCTGGATTTCTTTTAAAACAGAACTTCTTTCCTCTTAAATGGCTAAAGTGTAATTTCACTTGAAATAAGATGATACCCTCCTAAGAACACTTCAAAGTCTATAAATCAATGATTCCAAAAAGGACCTTATTTATTCATTTCAGAAAACCATTTGCCACACTGCTGCATACTTTCAGATGTGCAAATAAAGGGATCCCAGCTGGTTGCTTTATTTTCAAACAACTACAAAGGGAACAGTAGAATTTTGGCTTCGTGGAATTTTCCTTTGAAAATTTTCACAACCATGTGTGGTTGGAATCTGGCATTTATCTTTTGCTTCCACTCTGGAAATTTATACAGTTCTCTAGCATTTGGTTTGGGTCTTATAACTGTTCAAATCTTGGTCACAGTCTTCCACTTGTATAATTTCCCTCCAATGTGAAAAACCCACATACCATAATGTATCTACACAGCAAGACTTCAAACATAGTAATCGCCCATAGATTAGAAGAATTTGCAAAGCCAGATCACTCATGAATATTAAGGAAATAAATTAATATAAATGATTTTTTACATGAATGACCATGTGAGCTTATAATTATTAAATGAATTTTATAACCATTGACTTTATAAGCATAATAAAATATATATAAATCAATATACAGAAAAAACATACTAATTTCCAAAATGGCCAGATGAGTTTTGCCAACTTTTAAATTCTTTGAAATTTTTGTTTTGAAGATATTCAAAACTAGTTTTTAAGCTAGTTAGGTGATGTGGGTTGACATCAGACATCTATTTCCTTGCCCTGTCAGTCCTGTATGAAGAAAGGTGAAAAAAAAAAAAGTGATCCTAGAAAGAAATTTCTAAACAAACTAAATTCTTAGAAGCTTTTCCTTTTCTAGTATAAAGAACAAAAAGAAACAAAAAACCTATTACTTAAACTTTTCCCTGATTCTTTTGTATATATTTGATAACATTCTTAAAGCTGAACTTCATATTTTTATCTCCTTGTAGGGCACTTTGTAAACTTTGTATTCTACTGTCTACTAATTCTAACCCTGACTCCTACTATCTTATTCCTTGATATTGACTCCTTCTCTTCCTAGTAAAATAGTACCTGCCTCTGACTGACTTATAATTTTGTGAATCAAAATATTATTTCAGGAAATCCAAAATCATGTTTTTTCTAACTTGATAGCATTATTTACAGGACTTTCTAGCTTCCACACATCATCAAAACATCTACCTACCCACCCATTCATCCATCTATCCATTATTTCTTCCTTCCATCCACTGAGCACCAGTTACATTCAGACATTCTGCTAAGCCCCAGAAGATAGGAAGAGAGAGATCAGAAAGCCAGCCTGTCAGCACTTGGATCCAGGCTTTGCTACTTATGGTTTGCGTCACCTTGGTCAAGTTCCTTGAACTGTGTCCTTCAATTTTCTCATCTGTAAAATAAGAACAATAATAGTGCCCTATGTCATAGACCTGTTTTTTGAATTAAATAATGTTTACATATAGGTTGCTTAGAGGGTCCATAGATTATTCTGTAAACCATACCAGTTCTGTGCCCTTAGACCTATCTACTCACCACTCCTGTCCCGGTCCTTGGCCTTCACTAGATGGCCTACCCAGTATTAAAAACAAAAGGGAGAGTTCATATTGGAATGTAGTCACAAACATCACAAAACCAATTAAAAGATTCATAATTATCTGGTTCTTATTTACAGGATCTCTTTGATGGACTTCAAAGGTCACAGACATATTACAGTTCTGACTTACAAGGGGTCACCTATTATAGTATACCCTGTATCAGAGCTAAAAATGTAATAGACTTTAAATAGTCTTAAAACTGTCTCACTTGATAATGAGGACTCTTCATAAAGGCTGATTATAGCTTGCGGGGCTTAGACGACGCTTTGGGTTAAGAGCTGCATACTGGGTCTTCACTTGACTGTCACATATTTAAAACTCTTCGCCTTATGTTTAAGCAATCTTACAACATAATGATAATATTTTAACAGTAACAGCCTAGTAGTATTCAGCTGCATGTGCTTTAGCAGAACTAACATGGTTTAAATTACTAATCAAAATCTATCCTGATCCAAATGTATCACCATATTTGTATGCACTATGGAACAAACCATTATTTAATTTATTAAATTAATAGTTATTCTTATAGACTAGGCACTTAGGATAGTGATATAGAAGATAAAAATGTAGAGGACAGTTCATGTCTTCAAGGAACATGAAGAACTTCATGTTCTTCTTCAGAGATAAACCTTTACTAAATATATGATAATACTAGTAGAGGTAAATTGTGATTGTTTACTGGCTAAATCATGTCTGACTCTTTGAGACCCTATGGACTGTAGCCTGCTAGGCTTCCCTCTCCACAGGAGTCTCTAGGCAAGAATACTGGAGTGGGTTGCCATTTCCTACTCCAGGGGATCTTCCCAACCCAGGGATGAAACCCACGTCTTCTGCATTGGTGGGCTCATTCTTTACCTCTAAGCCAGTAGGGAAGCCCCGGCAGAGGTATATACAGAGCATTAAAGAACTGAGCAGAGCCCAAGAGAATGTGCCATCTGCAATGTTTTATGGTCATTGAATTTCCTCTTTGTTTTAGTAGATGCTGTGTAATATGGACAACATGCCTTGCATAGCTAAAGGATACTAGTTTGGATCTTGCTTTTCGAAATGAGGAAGCTAATTGGTTCCTATTATCAAAAATTAAAAAAAAATTTTTTTCATTGGGTTTTATCTCTGCTTTGAATTTGAAAGACTTCTAAGTTAACTGATTTTTTCACTTGCTTATTTCATTCTTTTGATGCTGTGTAGACACAACCACAGATATTTGCATAGTCTGAAAAAAGTCTTAGATGATGTAGGCTTGGGTTTTCTCACAGGAAGAGGGTTTTCAATAGTAGGGAGAAAAAAAGACCACTAGAATGGGAAGAGTCATCTCTTATTTGCAATTTTCTGAGAAATCAGAGTTACTAAGTCATAAAAAACAACCAAGTAATTAGAGGAAAAATATGATTTTCATTATACCATGAACTGTGTGATTCTCCTCTCCCTTCTTGCCAACTTAGTTTGGTCTGATTGTGAAACTCTATTAATCAGCATTAATAAACCCTTTTATTTCAGAAAATCATTTTAGTTACCCAATAAATGTTTCATATAAGACTAAGTGATAGTATTTGAGAATTTTTATATGAACAATTTTAAAGTCTTTATTGAATTTGTTACCTACCTTTATTGAAATTTTTACCTTCAATTCAAATAAATTGAATAGATTGCCTCTGTTTTATGTTTTGGTTTTTTGGCCATGGGTTATGTGAGATCTTAGTTCCCCTACCAGAGATTGAACCTGTATCCTCCCGCCTGCATTGGAAGGTGATGTCTTAACCACTGGGCCCCCAGGAAGTCCCTAAGTGAGAATATTGAAGTCTTCTTTTTCTCTGCCTCAAATTATTAGCTTGCTAAGTCTGAAAATTTTATCAGAATTTAATTTTTTTAAGATTTATACTATAATCTTTGGACATTGGTTTGTTTTGTGTAGAAAACCAACACTCTTTAATTGAACACTTCTGTATTAAAAGCCTATAATATATTCAGGGTAGGAAATTTAAAGGAGTCACAATTCTTGCATGTAAGTAGTTTTCCAAGTAGAAAAGAGAATTAAATATGAACAATATCTAAAACACAGAACATTGACAAAAAGCTATGATTTACTCATCCCTCAGACAAACACGTGTGACTTGTCTGCCATGATCTGAGCATTGTGTGAGATTCTTGGGATACGGCCATGAAGAAAGCAGGCATATTACATGGCCTCACAGTTCGGTGGGGCTGACAGATATTTACCAAGAAATTATGAGCCTTTGCTATGGGCCAAACACTTTAAAACCAAAAAGAGAGGATCCTGCCTCAGGTGCTGACAGTTTAATGAAGAAGATGGGTCATAAATTAAGCAAGGACTAAGCTTCATGACTAGAGCACTAATAGAAATGTAGAGAGGACATTACAGAAGGAGGAAGCAGAAGAGAAAGCACAGCCATCATCCTATTTACTAATCAGAAAGTTCTGAGTTTTATCAGGCACCATAGAAATATAGGCAAAATTCTGTAGCCCAGGTAATGCTGTGCTTACTATGTGTTGAGTGTGACAGAGGAAATGAGAATATATTAAAAGAAATTATTAATTCTCCTTGGTATCATCAGGATTAGCTTCATGAGGAGAGGCGCCATTTGAGCCAAGTTCTTCATGAAGGATTTTTAACATTTCAGGAGAGGATTCCTGGCAAAGGAACCAGTGTGAGACTGTTTACCGAGGCAGGAAAGTGCAGGTCTTCAGCACATGGCAAACAGTTCTATGAGGCTAGATTTCGAGATTAAAGAGTGTGAGGCCAAGAAAAGTGTTTTTCTCAGGTCTTGAAAGGCCTTATAAGCATTTAATAAAAACCCAGGACTTATCTTAAAAGCAAACTTCGATATCAGAGAAAATAAAGGGAAGACACCCAGTTCTTGGGGTTCCCTGGTGACTCAGCAGTAAACTATCCACCTGCTAATGCTGGGAACATGGGTTCGATTCCTGGGTTGAGAAGATCCCCTGGAGAAAGAGACGGTAACCCACTCCAGTATTCTTGCCTGGGAAATCCCATGGACAGAGGAGCCTAGCGGGCTACAGTTCATGGGTCACAAAGAGTTGGACATGACTTAGCAACTCAACCACCACCACCACCTCGTTCTTAGGCCAAGGTGTCAGAGAGATTCCAAGAAGTTAGTGAGAAAGGCTACGCACAGGGAAACTGGCATAAAGTTTACTTCTAGCAGTTTCAGAAATGTGTGTAAAGCTATGTATGATGTTTACTTATTGAATCCCTAAATTTTTGTTTAGAAATGAAGTACCTTATACCCTCCTGTTACTAGGTAAGGAGAAATAAATAATAGGCCTTGGCCTGAAGGAAGGCAACTATCTTAACTCACAGTAATTTAAGCAGTATAAAAAAATGCTGAGCTAGAGGACACACAATGTGTACAGAGAGAAGTAATTCATTCTGAAGAGAGTGATTTAGAAAGGATTTGGGCACAGGCAGGCCTGCTCCAGAGCTTACAGTTCAGGAAGCGTTTTTCCCTCTGGTCTTGGTTCTTTGCGGCATTTCTTAAATGAAATTCCCTGGAAACACGTTTTGAGATGGAAAGTTGTATGCAGAAGATTTATAGGGTAGCTCTTTAGAAATAAAAAGAAGAAAAAGAAAGAGAACTAACCTGTGATGCATCTGCACCGAGGACTTGGTCGAGTCTACGGAAAGCCTTTGCAGCTGGGCAGCTCTTTTATTAATGGGCTTAATTGAAGTAATTGGGGCTGACCTTTGTATCTTGGCATCAGTCAATTATTAGCAGCTGAGAATATCCTGGCCGTGGTGTATCCTTGGGGGAGCCAGTTGCCTGCAGCTTGAGGGTGATTCCCAGTGATGGATACAGCCTGGAGCTGTAAGCAACTATTCACTCCAGAGGAAACCAAGATGGTAGGTGGAAACCCAACTCCATGCTGAAGTGCTTCCCCTTAGTTTTTCAGCTGTAGGCTGTAGACAGTGATAGAAAGCTTTTAAGATGGTAAGGAGGCATACATTGATTTTGATTTAAGAAAGTTATTTCTGTAGCAATGTAATGGGCAATTTGGCAAGGTGATAGAGTCTGGCAAGTAAAAGTACTAGTTTGGAGGCTATTGTAGCTGTTAAGGCCCAATTCAAACCTGTGTGAAGTTTTCCCAAATCTCCCCAAGCAGAATAGTCCTTTTCTCTGCAGTTCTTCCATAGCCCTTTATGTTGTGCTCTGTGTGCAGGGTGGAAAAGAATTTCGAGACATGAGGCAGAATGAAAAGAGAATTTAAGTTTATTAGAGTGGGAGGCACTGTTAGAATGGGGGAGGGTTGGCTCAAGGGAGAGCTGAAACCTTTTGCAGGCTGGTAGCCAATTGTTACAATCTCAAGACAGAAAATCCCTACTAGAATGGTCTCATTAGATGACTGGTTAGGATGCTATAGGGTGGGTAGTAGGGTTAGTATTTTGCCTAATATTGGGTCAGGGACCTGGGCAGTTTAGATCTGGAGGTTCACGGCAACAGTTGCTATGGGGCTTGGTCAGCTCCAGAGATTTTTGTCCTGTGACCCTGGTACAGGGCTCCACACTTTGGTTATAATTTTACTTTAGTCCCAATTACAATCTGACTTTATATCATTAGTAGTTGATTCTGTGTATCTCCCTATTGACTCTGAATTCTTTTGAGGCAATAGCCATCTGCTCTTATCTGTACTTCCCATGGTGCCATCATTGAGCCCTGAGTAGAATTTGATACAAGCGTTTTGAATTATACAGTCTAGGGAAGGGATGATAGGTTTCTAAATGGAATCAGTAGTAATGGAAAGAAGAGAATGGTGTCAATGCAGGAGAACCTGCAGAGGTGGAAACGTCTGGAAGAGCTTTAGAGACTATGGCATAACTTCCATGTCATGGATTATTAGTACATTACATACACTGAAACACAACTACTAGAGCCCACTTGTATTTATATATTTATTTGGCACATTTCCTGGGCCTTTTGTTATAACACTTTCCCTTCGAAACTGAGCAGGGCCCTGTGGGGCTCCTGGGCATAGAAGCCTTTCTGTGTCCCCATTTCTTGTTTGTTGGAAGTAAATTTCAGCCTCCATGACCTTCCCAGAGTTCCAAGGGGCAGGTTCAAATAGTTGTTAATCAGAGAAGGGAAGGGATGCAGAAAAAAGGGAGGAGCAGTCGAGAAACACTTGTGTAGCCTTGGGAGAGGGTCTCTTCTGCAGAATTAAAACCCCCAACAAATGGATGATGTTAACTGCTTGATCAGACCTGATCTTAAAGGAAATCAGTCCTGAATATTCATTGGAAGGACTGATGCTGAAGCTGAAGCTCCAATACTTTGGCTACCTGATGCGAAGAACTGACACACTGGAAAAGACCCTGATGATGGGAAAGATTGAAGGCAGGAGGAGAAGGGGACGACAGATGATGTGCAGGCCCAGCACACACACCGATCCTTATCAGCAACCCTATCCTTGCACCATTGCTATAAAATGGGATTCTCCAGGCAAGGATACTGGGGTGGGTTGCCATTTCCTCCTCCAGGGGATTTTCCCAACCCAGGGATTGAACCTGAGTCTCCTGTGTCTCCTGCATTGCAGGCACATTCTTTACCTGCTGAGCTATCAGGGAAGCCTATTACTATAAAACTCCTCACCAAATCCTCCCCAGGTTGGGATGCACAGTTTTGAGAGTATGAGCCTGCTGTGTCCCCTTTGACTGACAAAGCAACAAGGCTATTTTCAACTTCACCCAAAGCTCTATTTTTGAGATTTGATTCAGCACCAGAGCACACAGGTTGAGTTTTTGGCATCACCTCTTTACATAAGTTTTCTCAGAGTTTGTTTTTTCCAATTACACACCAAAGAGGAAAGATAAGTTGCGTATTGTTTCTACCCTTTGAACTCATGCTGTTTTGTAACATGCCTACCTTAGACTTTAAAGTTCAGGTAATATTTCTGCCTTCATGAAACTTTGAATTTGTAAGATGTCTTTCTGATCATATTCTAAATGAACGCCCTCAACTTTCTTTTTAATTGAAGTATAGTTAATTTACAATGTTGTTCTAGCTTTTGGTATATAGCAAAGTGATTCAGTTATATATATATTCTTTTTTAGATTCTTTTCCTATATAGGTTATTATAAAATTATAAAATATTATAAAATATAAATTATTATAAAATATTGATATAGTTCCTAGTGCTATATAGCAGTATATATATGTTATCCCCAAATTCCTAATTTATTTCTGCCTTCACCTTTGGTAACCATAAATTTGTTTTCAAAGTCTGTGAGTCTCTTTCTGTTATGTAAATAAATTCATTTCTATAATTTTTTAAAAGATTTCGCAAATAATAATATCATATGATATTTGTCTTTTTCAGACTTACTTCACTTAGTATGATAATCTCTAGGCCCATACCTGCTGCTACAAATGGCATTATTTCACTCTTTTTTATGGCTGAGTAGTATTCCATTGTAAATGGCGACCCACTCCAGTGTTCTTGCCTGGAGAATCCCAGGGATGGGGTCGCACAGAGTCGGACACGACTGAAGTGACTTAGCAGCAGTAGCAGCAGCAGCGTTCCATTGTGCGTGTGCACATGTGTGTGTGTATGCCACGGGCATCTTATTTATCCCTTCAATTGTGGATAGGCATTTAGGTTGCTTACTTGTCTTCACTATTCTAAATAGTGCTGATCTGAGCATTGCCCTGCATGTATTTTTTGGTTCTTCAAAAAAAAATGGTTCTTCAAACCATTTTTGAAGAATGGTTTCCTCTGGATATATGCCCAGGAGTGGGATCTCTAAGTCATGTGGTAACTCTATTTTTAGTTTTAACAAACCTCCATACTGTTCTCCATGGTGGCTGCACCAATTTACATTCCCACTAATGGGGGGGGGAGGAGCGTCCCTTTTCTCCACACCTTCTCCAGCATTTATTATTTGTAGAGTTTTTGATGATGGCTATTCTTACTGATATGAGGTGATTCTGCATTGCATTTTTGGTTTGCAAGTATCTAATAATTAGTGATGCTGAGTATCCTGTCATGTTCTTACTGACCATTATTATATGTATTTTTTGTATTATTATATGTATTTATTATATATAATTATATGTATAAAGAATAATTATATGTATTCTTTGGAGGAATGTCTATTTAGGTTTCTGTCCATTTTTTGTTTGTTTGTTTTGTTTTGAGTTGCTTATATATTTTTAAAATCAAGCCTTTGTCTGTCGCATTGTTTGCAAATATTTTGTCTCAGTCCATAGGTTGTCTTTTTATTTTCCTTATAATTTCCTTTGCTATGCAAAAGCTTATGTTTGACTATGTCCAGTGTTTATTTTTGCTTTTATTTCTTTTTCCTTAACCTAAGAAAACATTGCTTGAATACCTCTAACTATTGTGTTAACTCTGCCAAGGTCTTATGACCCCAGAAAACTGTCAAGACTGCCAGAAAGTCAAGAGTGAAATATTTTCCTGTCTAGGGTATGACTTGGTTAAAAGAAAGTATGGCATATAAAAATGAAAATATATCTTGGAGTATTAGAAAGACTTTGATTCAAGTAGGGAAAGTTTTCCAAACCTGAGAGGGTGCACATTTTATCTGTGGAAAAAAGACATTAAAATATAGTGGCAAAATCATATGATATATCATCAGGAAATGCAGATTGATAAGCTGACCATGAGTAATTCTATGTCCTGTTTTAATTTTATCTCAATAAAATTTAAATAATACAATTTCTTGTTGTAACTGACTCAAAGAAATGACTTAAAGGTACAAATAAATGGGAATAATTTCTACATTATAAAATGCTTTTAGTTATTCTTAGTTCATGTAATGCTTATCCTCCAAATATTTCTGCTTTGAAATAACCCATGATGAGAACAATAGACTTCAATATTAGAATACATTGTGTTTGGTAGTTGCTTAGCTATAATTCATAAGTGTTTGCTCTCAACCACTGTGTTGAGAATAATTTCATTTAATTCAACAACCCTAGGGTGAAGGTAAAATCATTTTGCCCATTTTACAGATAAGGGAACTTAAATATATTTAGAAAAACAAAATAACTCTCAAAGATCTATTGAGTGACAGATAATACCTATATGTCTTTAGAGCATATGCTGCTAACACTTAGCATTATCCTATATTATTACATGTGTATAGACTGACAAGGATGGAGTTAACTCATGAACATGTGTTGTGCATGCTTAATATACATACGGACATGCATAAGTAAATATGTACAAGAGGAAAACTTGATCATCAGAAAAGTATGTAGCTACAGACATTGAAGGTGTATGTAACTGAAGTTAATAAGCATCTAGACTAACCTTCTTTCTTTCAAAGTATTGTATTTGGAAGTAATCTACTATGTGCAAAACACCATGTTTGATCCACCAAAGCAGTGATGTCCAATAGAAATATAATGAGAACCACACATGTAATTTTAAATTTCCTAATAGCTACACTGGAAGAGTAAAAGAAACAGTTGAAATTAATTTTGGTAACAATATGGATATATCAAGTGATTTTAATCCCTATTTCCCTTGCAGGCATGAGGAAAACAGAATTCATAGAAAAATTAAATCACTGGCCTATTTTTAAAAATCAAGGCTAGATTTTTAGTGCTAAAGTTTCACTGCAATAGCAAAACAAACAAAACACACATACACAAACAAACAACCCCCCCCAAATAACAATAAAAAACAAAGTAAAACATAAAAACCACCAAACAATCTGACTTAAAAGTGGGCAGAGAACCTGAGTAGACATTTTTCCAAAGAAAACAAACAGACGGTCAAAATAACATTAAAAGGTGCTCAGCATCACTAATCATTAGGGAAATGCAAATCAAATCTATAATGAGTTATCACCTTACGCCTAGCCTATTACAATGGCTATTACCCAAAAGACAGGAAATATCAAGGGTAAGTGAGAATGTGGAGAAAAGGGAACTTTTGTGCACTGTTGGTGCAAAACAGTATGGAGGTTTCTCAAAAATTAAAAATGAAGCTACCATATGATCCAGCAATTTTACTTTGGGTATTTAACCTAAAAAAAAAAAAATAGTAGCTCAGAGATATATACGTACCTCCATGTTCATTGAAGCATTATTTATAATAGCCAAAATACATAAACACCCTAAATGTCCATTGATCAATGAATCGAGTGAAGAAAATATGGTGCAAACTCTCTGTATACAGAGTAATTTTATTTACCTGTAAAAAAGAAAGAAATCTCATCATTTGGGACAACACAGATGGAAGTTGAGGCCATTATGCTAAATGAAGTATGTTGGGCAAAGAAAGAGAAATATCATACGGTCTCACTTATATGTGAAATCTAAAAACCAAAACCAAAACAAAACAATACAAAATTGAGCTTATAGATACAGAGAACAGATTGGTGGTTGCCAGGGGTGGTGAAGGGTGGGCAAAACAAGTCAAGGGTGTCAAAAGATACAAACCTTCCATTATAAAATAAATAAGTCATGGGGATGTAATGTACAGCATGGTGATCATAATTAGCAATATTATTTTGCATATTTGAAAGCTTAAGGGAATAGAACTTAAAAGTTCTCATTGCAAAAAAAAATTCTTTTAGCTGTATATGATGATGGATGTTAGCTAGACTTACTGTGGTGATTCTTTTGCAATATATACAAATATTGAATCATTATGCTATACACCTGAAACTAATATTATATGTGAATTATATCTTTAAAAATTTCCACTTTTGATATTGTTGAGTTGCTTTGGGCAATCTTCAGTTATGATTCACCAGCCTTGTGTTAGAAGATTGTAATATTTGAGATAGTGGGTTGCATTTAATGTAAAATGCTTGAAAAAATAAATAATGAATTTCTCTTCAATTTTTTCCAGAAACAATATATCTTTCCACCCCATAATCATATCTCCACGAGAGACATGTTCTATCCAAATACATTCCAAAGGAGAATAGTCATCAATTATTCAAATTCAGCAAATATATATTGATTGTCTCCTATATGCCAACTACTTGTCTGAAAAATTCCATGGATGGAGGAGTCTGGTGGGCTACAGTTCGTGGGGCCGCAAAGAGTCGGACATGACTGAGCGACATCACTTTCACTTTCTTTCACTATATGCCAACTATAGATACAGTTATAAAATAATTCTTCCACAGATATAGCTCACAAAGTAGGCTAGAGGAAAGACAGACAAATACACAAGTATGTATACCAAAATGCGATGAGAGATTTATGTCTATAATGTTACAAATAGATACAAGGTATAGGCACTTTTTTTTTTCCTTTACTTATTTCAAACCAACTAAACCTGAGGATAAGACACAGTTACTTAAAGAACTAGGAAAATAGTAGCCATTGCTTGAAAGTAATGAAGTTTGAGGCTTTGTCAAATGGAAGTTGTAAATATTTAGCATCTTCTATAAACTGTAGTTTTGACATGTTCTCAGTTTTTAGTATGTTTAAAACTTAAAAGTGACACAAGCAGTGTGTATGTATTAAGTACTGTTTTATTATCAAATTTTAAACTTGGTTAATTACCCAATAGAAATAGTAAAGGAGGTTGTAGGAAAAGAACTGTATTAGAATAACTATTTACACATTATGAGTATTAACCTTTTTTTCCCCCATTTATTTTTATTAGTTGGAGGCTAATTACTTTACAATATTGTAGTGGGTTTTGTCATACATTGACATGAATCGGCCATGGAGTTACATGTATTCCCCATCCCTATCCCCCCTCCCACCTCCCTTTCTACCCGTTTATGAGTATTAACTTTTTAAAAAATGTAGTAAATATTAGTTATTCGGGGATACCCACTATTCAAAATACCATTTCTATTTGAAGGGACTTCATTGTGTGGGGCTTACGAGTCCAAAAGAAATATTTCTCCTCTATCCTCCTGACCAGACAAGATTTGGACTTATAAGCTAGGCTTCGTCAAGGTAGAGCCTAGTAGCTTCATGGATGGTGTCCATTGTTTGTGGTACCAGTTGTGGCATCCTAACCAGACTTTCTGAATTTCAACCTTGGTTTTGTCCTTGGCTGCTAAGTCTCTCTTGCTTCCTGCATTTTCTGAGCCTGATTTTCCAGCAATCTTTTGGTTCTCCAAACTATTAGTCTAAAAATTAATCTGATTTTGGAACCAATTAGCCAAAGTCAGTTCCAGGTATTAACAACCAAGGATATGCCTATTTATATACTATTTATATTCTTTACCAGCATCTATAGAAATTGGTACCAGAAAGTGGGTTATTGGCCTCAAAGCCTCAGGGCAATCTGAATCTTATCTCTGATTCAGTTTGGGTTAAAGGTGGTGAAAAATCCAGTTAATGCCCACTTGGTGTCTGGTAACTTATGGCATTCAATGGCAAAGCAATTAATTATCATTAATTGTTTTATCATTTATAAAAATATTTATTTTATCATTTTATCTGTGGTTATCATTAATAAAATGACTACTAAAAGCAAATCTTTGTGATTTTCATATTGATGCCATAATAAAACAGAATTAAGGTCATGTAAATCAAGAATTCAGGGAAAGATGTTTGTTTTTAATGGACTTAAGTAAAGACAGAGAGGAGTAGGTTAAGGTTCAAAGTCATTGGTTTAAGATATGAATGAAAACTTGGGAACTTTGCCACCATGTTAAATAATTTTTTAACCTGTAGTGTTGTAATCAAATGTAAAATTTGAAAATGCAGATTATCAAATTCATTTATTTGAGTTCACAGCAATGCCAGATTTCCCATATGATAGTGAATTTTTATTAAGAAGAAATGAAAGAATATGAATAGAATATATTGGATGATACAGAAAGATGCGAAGGACATGGTGGACCCCAAACCCTAACTCCCACTGGTTTTCCATGCTGGCTATGGCTCTCTCATCATCCATGTCTGATAAGCTTGTTTCACCCTTGGTTTGAAGATGAAGTCACTTTTGAGTGAAAAAAAATCTCCTTGCAAAGGAAGCCATTTCTTCTGAAGTCTTCTCTAGACCTTAATGTTTGCAAACTTATTACCAGAATTGGGGAATGTGATGTAAATGGAGGTCAAATTCAATGTTAAACTAAAAGGAGAATATTTAACCTCAAAAGAATTGTTAGATCAGGAAATTCATTTTAACAACATTTTGTGAGGGATGTATGGGAAGATTCTGAGGTACCAAGAAAGGAATAACATTAAATCGGGTTGAATTTAGCAATCAGTTCAATCAGAATGCATTCTTGGCTGAATGGCTAAAACCTGGATCAAGAGGTGGGTTATGTCAAATAAAGTTGAGAGGCCAAAAATTCCTTGGCATAATGTATAGGAAAATATCCAAAGGTTCTGAGTGATAGAATTACTGGAATAAGGTAATCCTTTCTAATACACTCACCCATCACAATCATGTTTGCTAAGAGGGTTCAATATACCTATGAGTATTGAATCATACTCAATATGATTCATGTTGTGGTTTGACAGAAAACAGCAAAATTCTGTAAAGCAATTATCCTTCGATAAAAAAGAAATTAAAAAAACAAAAGATATTCTCTTTACCAAGTCTTGATAAATATACAGGTGAAAGGGTGCCAAGTTCTCTGAAAAGTCCAGCAGTGTTTCAGATGTTGGAGGAAATTCTGCAATTGAAGTGAGCTTCCTGATATCAGTGAAGTGGAAAGATTCTAGGGTACAGAAGACACCTAAGGTGTCTTAGCAGTCAAAGGAAAAGTGGATGTACCTACCATAATAGGGAATGAAAAGGGCCTTGCCCTCATATACTACTGGTGGTAACTTGGGCAACTCAACCTTAGGCTGCCTAGAATTCTGCTAATCCTGAGAATTCAATTCCCATATTTAAGTCAATGCACAGACCGAGAGCTCCAAGAATAAACATACACTTGTGGAAGGATGCTTTAGTATCACCACAAGTAGATGGTATGAATTTTCATTCTAGTCTTTCTCAAAAAAAAAAAAAAAAAAGAAAGCCTGTAACTCTTTACCAAATAATTATGTATTCATGATCAGTTCAGTTTAGTTCAGTTGCTCAGTCATGTCCGACTCTTTGCAACCCCTTGAACCGCAGCACGCCAGGCCTCCCTGTCCATCACCAACTCCTGGAGTTCACCCAAACCCATGTCCATCGAGTCGGTGATGCCATCCAACCATCTCATCCTCTGTCGTCCCCTTCTCCTCCTGCCCTCAATCTTTCCCAGCATCAGGGTCTTTTC